GAAAATAATCAGAGGCCTTTGTTTTAGAATCTTTGGCTTTTAATACAGGAAAATATCTGATTAATGCCTTAGATTCTGGTTTGTTTCTTTGAGAATTTGGAATATTACCGAGAGATAAAAATATAGGATGCCCGGAAGATTTTCCCATATGGTCCAAAATCGTTGCATCAGAATAAAGAATAATTGAAAGTAATCGCCGACCAGGAAGAATGCGTGACGCTTCCTGCTTCCACCAATCGCAGTTATATTGTTCTTTAAATATACATAGCTCTTTATTTTGTACATCCCATTCTTCTTTATATTCTAATACTAAATTTTGATTAACATTATTATTTGCCAATAAAGACTTTATTGTCTTTATTAGTGATCGATAATGGAAGGTGTATTCAACATCCTCAAACTTAATAACGGGAATCTCTTTGAACATATTATATGGAATATCAGAATTATCAAAAAAATCTTTTCCAATTCTAGTCGAGGGAGGTAATGGTGAAGCGTCCAAATTTGAATGCTTATTAAAAAAATTTATTATCGCATCACCAGCTGAATTTGATAATTGGTATTTGGTGACAAGTGTTATAAACTCTTGATAGGCTTCATTTGGCCATTTTACTTGTGGTGAATGTCATAAATCTCGATAAGCATCTGCCATTAATGCTCCTTTATAATCTTCACGATCAATTTCAATTTCTAGTTCTTTTTCAGCTGAAATAGATTCATTCTCATTTACAAAAAATCACTTCTCAGATTCAATTTCGCTATTATCTTCATCTATCTCGTCTTCTGACATATTATATTTATCTTCCTTCACATCATCCATCACGTCTTCTATCTCCATCATATCATCCATTGCATTAGCGTGTTCGACTTGTAATGTTGAAGTAATTTCCATTTGAGTGTCTTCGTTTGCTTCACTTTCGCTCTATATATTTAAAATAATTGTTAATTCAACACATTTGCTAAGTTTCAAATAAATATTTACAACTTATTTACCCGAGAAGAACTTTTATCAGAACTTATAAGTGGTGGATAATCATATATTGTGGGATTATATTGTAGCTGAACATCTGTTGATTGAATATCTGTTGATTGAGATGCAGAAGATGTAGTCTCACTAATATAAGGATGACATTGTGAAATATGCCGTGTTAAATCAGTTGATCTTGAGAATTTATTGATTACATTAATTTCATTACAAAATGGACAAAACCAAGTCATGTTTATTAAGAATAGAACACGATTTAAGAATTTATTCAAACAAGTAGTTTAATTCTGGGCAGAAGAATTGCTTTTATAATTTATGGTTAAGTATTATACTATTACGGGGTGAATCGTACGTGTAATAATTTATATATATGAAAATATAGACTTTATGTGATATAAGGCAACTCGCCAGAGGCGTGATGTTGGTGATTTGACAATATTTTATTAAAAGGATTTATCAAGATGATTTATTAAATGTATTATAAAGAATCCTGTAGGATGCTCCATCAACTAATGCGAATTCTCTGAACTTTTATAGCTTCAATTTTCTTAAAGAACTCAAGG